AAAAAATATAAAAGAATTGCCATAAAAAGAAGTATCGACATACTGTATATTACCAACATATTGTATAATAAGAATTGCAATATGTTGTAACTATTCAAAAGAAGGAAAAGTATGGAGGAAGTCGACAAAAAAAGGAAATTAAGGAAAAATACTACAATAAATAGTAAGAGCTTTAATGGGATTCGAATTATTTCCAAAATGTTAATTAGATAACCAACTGATCTATAGATGGATAACACAAACTACCGATTCTAAAATTCTTAACGTTAGTATAGGGCCGCCCTTGTTTGAGAAGCAATAAGTTTTGAATAGAATCCAAAATATGAGGAAACCCAATTTATATTACTCGGTTTTACTCGCCTATATATATTTTGAGTTGATTCACTTGTGTCTCCATCCTCATATAACTCCATTGACATATAGGGAAGTAATGAGACATACGAAGAGAAACATAGTATGCTAAAGGAGGCTGTGAGTGAATCTTTTTTGGCTTCCATGGTGAATCCGATAGAGAATATCAAGTTCATTGACACTTTATGTCGCCTTGGCGTCTCCTATCACTTTGAGAGAAACATCTTAGAGCAAGTGGGGAAGTCATTTGATAGTCTTGATTTTAATCAGATGATAATACATGATGGATGCGATTTATACACTGTTGGACTAGTTTTCCAAGTTTTCAGGCAATTCGGTTTCAAACTTCCGGCAGGTAATCTTATTCTATTTTATAATTACAAATAATCTCCACATAAATGGAGGGTTTATTGTATAATAATTTAAATCCGTAGAAAAAAAAACTAAAAACGCAAAAAAAAAAACTGATTACTCGTGAAAAAAAAAATATTAAAAACATTGATGCGCAAAAGTTCAACCATTATTCATTTTATGTATTTATTTTGATTCTATATTTATTATTCAATTTTCAATTAAATTTAATAACATAATAAAAATATCTAAGTTTCTTTTTTTCTATTTTAATTATTTATTTTTTGTTAGTTAACTTTATAAATTAAAATTTTGACGAATGATTATATTTTGAAAAAGATTCTTGTCCTTTTGATTTTTTTGAGTGTTTAATTGAAAGACTATCAAATTCTTTATATAGAGGTGAGCAATTAAATTTATTTTTGATGATTATTAATCTATTTTTTAATTTTCTTAATGGTAAAACTACTGGGACAAAAAACAAGATTTAATAATGGACAACTTTAAATAGATCTTCAAACGAATTAACGACGAAAACCAAATACTCATAAATAAATCATTATAGTACCTAAATAATCATTTTAAAATCTCTGCTGTTGTTTTGATCTATCCAATTGGTCAAGGAAGTTTTTCTGATGGTATGCCTCTAGGAATCTCTGGTACTTTCAACTTTATGATTGTATTCCAGGCTGAGCACAACATTCTTATGCACTCATTTCACATGTTAGGTGTAGCTGGTGTATTCGGCGATTCCCTATTTAGTGCTATGCATGGTACCTTGGTAACTTCTAATTTGATCAGGGAAACCACAAAAAATGAATCTGCTAATGAAGGTTATAGATTCGGTCAAGAAGAAGAAACTTATAACATTGTATCTGCTCATGGTTATTTTGGCCAATTGATCTTCCAATATGCTTAGTTTCAACAATTCTCGTTCTTTACATTTCTTTTTAGCGGCTTGGCCAGTAATAGGTATTTGGTTTACTGCTTTAGGTATCAGCACTATGGCTTTTAATCTAAATAGTTTCAATCCCAACCAATCAGTAGGTGATAGTTAAGGACGTGTTATTAATACTTAGGCTGATATTATTAACTGTGCTAACCTTGGTATGGAAGTTATGCATGAACGTAATGCTCACAACTTCCCTCTAGACCTAGCTACTGTTGAAGCTCCATCTACAAATGTATAATTCTTTAGCATGAGTCTAAACCTAGTTTAGTAATACTAAAAAACGAGCAATGTAAATCTTCTTTAAATTCAAAAGAAAGCTTATATTGCTCATTTTTATATATAACAAATACAAATTATTGTAGATTTATCGTAAACAATTATTGTTAATTAGATAATAACGTAGCAATGACATAACAACGAAAGAAAAGTCAGTGTTACTGCGTTGTTAACTGGTTGGTCAATTACATTGAAATAACCTTGAGAAAGTAAAAACACTATCGTTTATTTTAATGTAAATCAATCGTAAAACTTCTAGATGTAGTAAATTCAGCAGTTAATGTTAATTCGTTGTAGAATTTTAAATGCGAAATCATTGTAAATTAACAATAAATTAGTGACAATATTTACCTATAGTTATTAAAAATTAATATTAGTACTATAGATTATTTATAAATTTAAATTCAAATAGAAAAATTGAAAATTTCAAAATACAAAATGAAAATCTAATGACTAAGATTATTTTCACAGAAATACTCTGTGTCCAAAGCTTTGCATAGGGGGGAGGGGGGAGAGAGAGAGTGATGACTTGGGAATGAGCGAGGAAAAAGATTTGGGTGATCTTATGAT